AACCCGGATTTAAGCGTTGTAAGTCCGCAGACATACCGCTGTACTAATGGGGGCTACACATGCGTACTTACACACATATTTATAAAACTTAGGGTTACAAGTTAATATCAGAATACAAGGCTTTAATTGCCAGCTCTACGTCTAGTGCTGTAATAACAGTGTTAAAGCTAAAAAAACAACGGTATTTCGAAACTGATGGTTCTTTGAATATTTATATGTATTTATTATACTAAAGAAGATCATAGCCTTATATATATATATATATATATATATTTAATATTCTGGATGTATATTTCTGTGTGTGTCTGTGTGCACACCTTTGATTCTTTGCGAGGACTATTTTATGAAAATACATCAATGTTGTGGGATTAGTTTACATTATGAATATAAAAAGTACATCTTCATAGTGTTTTATAACAATATTTCCCATTTTTAACCCACTGTGGTCAGTCACTAGACACAAAATGGCTATTAGGGATTACACGAGAATGTATTTGTCTGCCCCCTTGTAGCAAAACGGTCATATGATGTCATGAAATTTGACAACATAATACACAAGGGCTATCTGTGCTCTGCCCACCACGAGTATCGAAACCCGGTTTCTAGCGTTGTAAGTCCGCAGACATACCGCTGTGCCACTGGGGGGCTATCAGCGAATGTAGGGTTAGATGAATAGTTGATAACCCTAACATCAAATGTATAATGTCATGTTGAATGGCACTCTGTAAAAGGTTGTGCCATGTACTCTTTGACCCTTGGTTCAATCTTATGTACATTTGGTTAAACTAGGCTGATTTTCGTTATATGATCAAACCAATTATAATTTTTTTGCTTTTTATATAAATAATGTAAAATAAAAATTAAAATAAATTAATAAATCAAAATTTTATCTCCATTTTCTTTCATTTTTATTTCACAATGTGCAACTTTAAAAAAAACTAAAAATGCAGGTCAGATGGGAAAGCATCGTAAAATTCTTGTATGCATGCCATTAGTTTTGTTTTTACTTGTCGCCATTGGTGATCTTGTATCATTACTCATATTTTTTCTTATTCTTTCTTGTTCTCTCAGTATAGAGTAAAAAATATTAATTCGTGCCCACATGAAATTTTATAAAGCCTGTTTCAAACATTGGTACATACATGAGGGTTTTGTTTACCTGTTGCTATGGTGATGGTAGGCAGTATCTGACAGTTAAGTACAAATCGATATTTACACCAGCGTCTGTTGACAACAAGCCAGAAATATCCAGATTAAGATAGCTCCACGAGGTGCAGTAACGAACCGAAGAGGAATGAACCATGTTTGTGTCATTCAAGTTTATGAAAGATATCTACCCGTTTATGGATGTAGTCAGGAACTGGAAAATACTGGCTACAGCCAGTTCAATCAAGTAACCGTGTGTATTTAGAGCTCAACTTAATTATATTACCACTTTTCGTGTTATAGAAAAATATAACTGATTAGAAATATGGTTGAATTTTGGAAACTTGTTTGTTTGTTTCTGATTAAGCATAAAGCTACAAAATGGGCTATCTGTGCTCTGCCCACCACGAGTATCGAAACCAGGTTTCTAGCGTTGTAAGTACGCAGACATACTGTTGTGTCACTAGGGGGGGGGGGAGGCTTTTGAAACCACCTAAACACTCGTTATGCTTTATTTTGATAACAAAAAAATATGCAAGTGCATACACACATGGGAAAATCAATAACAGATGTAAAATAATTATCTTTCAGTTGTTCGGGGAGGAAAGACAGTAGTCTAATAAATCAACCAAGAGGACATCTTTCCAATATTCTAAGTTTTTTTTTTGTAACTGAAGTCAAACAAATAATCGCTCCACACCTTTAGATAAAGACATACATATATGGCTGTTCCAAAGAAAGCAAGCCTAAAGAGTAAACTGTTATTTATCATTACACATTTTATTTTCCCAGAAGCCAAACAGAAAATATTTCCAAACAGATCAAGTTACAGGAAGCTAAAGGAACGTTTGGCAAAACTTTCTTTTCCAGTTGCATGCACGTGGATACTAAATACGTGAACTACTGTGTCTCTTTTAACACAAGTAATCTTTAACAAAAGATGAATGGATGGAGATTGATCACAAAACAAGGTTCTTGGTTATATATTACAATTCACGTAGTCTTATAGATGACAGTTTGTTTGTTTTTGAATTTCGCGCAAAGCTACACGAGGCCTATCTGCGCTAGCCGTCCCTAATTTAGCAGTGTAAGACTAGAGGGAAGGCAGCTAGTCAT